CTTAAAAAGAACGCATATTGTATATGAGAAGACGATTTTTTCCGCTTATAATTATTTTTATACAAAATTAAATTATTTGGAAGGAGTAATAAAGTAATTGAGCTACTTTGGAGGAATAATCCGTATTTAACTCGTTTATAAATAAATGAATATGAAGATCCAATATAAATTTCATGTTTGATGAAAATTAAAAAGTGCTGCAAATTGAGGAATTCTTTTTTCTTCTAGAAGAGAAAAAAGAGGCCTTTGTAAAAAGTTTATGAGAAAGAAATATTTGTTTTAAATTTCTAAGACATTTTCCACAAATTTTCTGTCATATGCTATTACTTTAAAACTTTCCTAATAGGATGTTGAGAAACATGAGGCAAAAACTAATTAAATTAGATTAGATTAAAACTTTTCTGGTCATTAGATGATTCTTAGATAATAATAATCTGTTAATTGGAGAACAAATTAATTTAAATAATGGAGATGAGAAAGTTTTATAATTAATGAACTATAATCAAATTATACTTATGAAAATTACTAATTTATTTAACAAATTGGCGATTTTTTTGTACTTTTCAACTTGCCTGCTCTACAGAATTTTGGAATTTTATATGTATTTGAGGACTGAATTAATTCTTTATGACACCATCAAATATTTTCACTTGTAATCTAGTTTGCTTGTTCACAAAATCCTCAAATACCTTTAGATATCTCACTATGTTTAAAATCGCTTTAAATCAATCCACTTTTAATTTCTTGCTTAAGTTAAAAATGTCCAAACTTCTGAGAAAAAGTTTTTGAACCTCCAATTATTTCAGATTTCAAGCTGAAAATTCGATTATAATGAGGAGGTTATCAGGTGTTAAAAAAAACATTGCGCTGCTGTTTTTAAAATTGATAATGACTGCGAAATTTTTTTTTCTGTTTTTAATTAATAAATCGATATTAAATTTGGAATAAATAAAAAGGATATCTTGCCACTAAGAATAGGAAAGTAAAAGTTTAATTTTTTAACTACTAATCCGTGAAATTATCCATCTGTGTTGTGTATTTATTAATCCAAGACCTTTTATCACCTTAGAAATCTTCTTCTCAATTCAATCGATTGAATATCCCAGAGATCAAAGCCGATTTTTTCGGCTTAACTCAATTTTTGATTTTTTTGATAGAAAAAAGCCATTTGACACCCATTTCAAGTATTTAAATTGAACTTTATATGTAAAGCCGAAAAAATCGGCTTCGATCTTTGGAATATCCTTAATTTAAGTTTTAAAAAAAATTCTGTCGCTTTGGATGCTCTGTGGACTACTATGTAAATCTGAAGGATTGCGTTTTCTGAGTATTTACTAGTAATATTGTCTTACATCAACTTGTATTATGTAACTAGTGTATCGGGTAGAAACCCAATGCGGATATATTCACACCGTACCATCAAAAGTCTTATGGATAGACCAAGATTTGCTCAGCATAAGTTTAAAGGGTGAGCGTGAAGTACGGCCGAGACTTATATCGACACAGTTCAAAAGTTATACCTAATTTATGTCATAATTATGTCAGCTACAAAATTACTTAGTTTGAATTTTGTCACCCTCGGGAACACTATAAACCAGTATAGCTGATTTTGGTCCAAATCTCGGCCATACTTCACACTTATTTGAACCACATTTTCTCTTAAATGTTAAAATATTATTAAAAAGGAATTAATCCTGAATTATGTCGCTATTTTGTCAAGTATTTTAAGATAAAGAATTTGTTTTTTGTAGGGTCGCCTATAGTCCAAAATTGAAAATGTATTTCCTACTTGGTTCTTTGCTCAAAAAAATTTTAGAATGTTTCATTTGTATTTGTTTTAAGCACTTGAATATTTATGCAAAGTTTCAATCCATTTGAATAAATCCGCGAAGAAAAAAGTGACAAAATTGATTTTGACTAGGGTCGCCCCTAGTCCAAAATTGAAAATGTATTTCCTACTTGGTTCTTTGCTCTTCTTTGTAAGAAAGGAAAGTTTTTTGCTTTTTCTGAAGCAACGGCTGTTCCTACCTTGCCTAAAAACAATACAGCTCTTCTATAGAGCAGCACGGATCAAATGTAAAAAACTAGAAGTCTCTTCAATGTCTCGTTATTGAGAATTCTTGCTGATTAACTTGCTTGTTTGCTTGTTTGCTTACAGAAAGCATATTTTGCTATTTTCTCAGCAATGCCGCAACCAATTTGAAATCTGTTTTTTGCAAAAGATTTGAAATTCCAGGCACAAAATTTTCATCTCTGAACATTTAAAGCTATCTTGCTCCATATCCTCACAAAATTCAAAAAACTGATTTTTCAATCTGAACAAAACCAATAAATTCACACGTGAAAACGGTGTGAATATAAAAAAGTTTTTTATTGCAATGAAACAACATAATTTTTCCCTTTCTTACACATCATTTATGCTTATTTAATGCTTTTTGTTTTTCTTATATCTAGTCAAATTACCTCATCACAGAACAACCCACAGATGTTTATGTATCTGCTGATCCAAACGGATAATAACATTTTCATGTATATTTTTTCATCATATCTATCTCTTTGCTTATTTTAACAAGAGAAACATCTTTTACGATTCTATAACTATGTAAATGTGCTGACAACAAATCATTCATATAGCATGCATACATAGACTTTTAAGTACAAAAATCTTGTGGTAGATTCCTATCAGAGAAATGAACTATCTTTGTTGAAACTTTCTTGCTCATAATGCACTTGTTCTTTTATAGTTTATGTTTTTCATACAATATCAATTTTTAAGCATAAAAAAAAATTCTGAAAGTATGAAATTTTTATATTTCAAAGTGACTACAAAAGTCGATGCTTTCTTTAAATTTTTGCTACAACAGCTTTTCATGGTCAGGAAATCGATAAGGAAGGAAAGCATGTAAAGGAGGAGAAAAAGCGAGAAAGAAAGTATAATATTATGGAAGTAATTTTCTATATACTCTATGCAGAATATGGTGCCTTATAGTTACTTTTTTGTTCTACATCGTATAAGAATGCACAAAATACATTAGGGAAAAGAAAAATAAAAATAAGGGAAACAGAGTCTTAAAAACAATTCAGATGTGTTTTTGAACGCTCAAATCGATTTTTTTTTGTATCGTCGCCTTTTACACAATAGTGATAATTTAGGATAGTGATGAACATGTTATAAAAAGAATGAATGAGTTTTGTTTAAACCGGAAAAAACTTGATGTAATAATTTTTTATACAACATGTACGATACATTTTAACCTGTTATGCTGGTTGCATAGCATTGAGGCATTTTGCATGATTGAATTAATTTGATATTTATTGAAGTTAAATTAATTTTCCACAATCCGGATTCCACAATTATTTAAGGTATGTAATAACGTGCTTATATCAACTATATCGAATGCTCTTGATAAGTCCTACTGATATTTTTGCATGGCCGTTAATTGCCTCTTAAATCTCATTTATCATTTCAAATGACATTCTAAATCAGGACTCAGCTTATTTTCATTGTTGCCAGTAAAATATGTAACATACAATCGTTCAGAATCTAAAAGTTCCATGTGTACAAAGTCTGAAAATTATTGTTAAAAAATTTTAAATAAAATTAAGTAAATTGTAAATTTCAATCAAATATAAAGTAATCCGCATGTTGCCTCGTAAAAAATTTAATATTAAACCTGAAATTGAATCAAGAATCAATCTTCATTTCAATCTGTCTTAATCTTTGGGAAATTTAATAAAAAATGTAAATTTTCATTAAAATCTCATTTCACGGGCGGAAAAGAAGAAAAAGTCACGAAAAATTATTACTTTAGCTCAATTCCACTTTATTCTCTTTCATTAATCTTATCATTTATATATAAATATAATTTTTCACATCTTTTTTATAATAATTTATTATTCATCTTATTTAATACAATTTTGCATCTTTCATTTACATTGTTTCCATCTCTCACGAATCTCGTTTATTTAAAGCAACGTAAAAAAATTCCCACAAGCTTTTATACACATCGTACAGTTGAAACAATTTTTCTAAAATAAGAGGATATAGAATATCAATATTGATTGATTCATCCTCTATTGTTGACATATAAAATATACTTAATGGAATCTTTTCCCCTCTTTTCTCTCTGTAATTTAATTTATCCATTAGAGTAAAAAGAAGATTGTGTTTTTCAATCTTGATAATCTTTTTCATTTATATCATAAACTCTAAAGCTATGCTTTATTTCTGTTAGAAGTTAGAGTGTCTTTTTTTTTGAAGCCCATAAATTTCTATTAAAAAGCATTTCAGGATTTTTCTATCAAACAATGTAAAAGTATTCTAAATTTTCAAGAAAGAGAAAGAATTGAGATTATCCACGACCTGCATAACGTATATCCTTACATGTCACGCAATTCAATTCCTCGTTTGCTTTCCATTTGTCAAAAGTTTTTCCAAACATCCTCTTAAAAAGACTTCAGAAAATTCCTCATTTATTGAAATTTTCATGGATCGGCATTCAGTCATTAACAATCATTAATTTTATGTTGTAATAAAAAAAAGTTTCTTAATAACAGAAATGAGAATTAAAAGAAAAATCGATAAAAAATTTATGATATGTAATGTTAATGATTCTTTAGATCAAAGATTTACAAGAAGAAATGAACTTACTATAAAAATAATTTATTTTATTTAATGGTAGAAAATTAATTACTTTAAGCTTTACTAAAGAAACTTATGCATTAATGGAAGCAAATAATTTAATTCCGAAACAAAGCATAAGTTTAATTACATCGAATTGAATATTTTTCACATTGTATGAATCTTTTGACTTAATAAAGAAAACTGACAATGATACTATAAAAAAGCATAAATTGCTTTTAAATAAAAAACAAAATATTTTTCATTCTTCAAAAAACATCTTCAGCCTCATTTTTGGGATAATGCAATTTATGTGAGATTTATTTATCTTCCTCAACATTCATTAAATATTTTCTACAATCCTCTTTCCTAGTTTTTGTATATATATATATATATATCTGGTATCAATAGAACACAATAAATATATTATTCATATCAACCTCATATCAAGCTTGAAAATCCTTTTCCAGAAGTTTTTATTTTTTTTTCCTTCGCATGTTTCTTTGTTTCTTTCATTTTATTTTCAAAAGAACTTTTAATGTTGGCCATCGTCATTCAGTTACTTTTTTCATGCACTATTATTAGAAGGCGGATAGAAAAGGAAGAATAAATGTTCGAAGTATAGGAGAAAAGAGAAATGATAAGGGATTTCAGATTTTTTTCCAAACGAGTGTGTGGACATGACATCAAAAGTTATTCTTATGTCACTCTTATGACAAGTTTTTTTCTGATGGCTGATGTATGGGCCTCTCATTTATGCTTCTTTGCCGTTTCATTTATTCTTCTCAATTTATTTATAAATGTACAGGAAAGGAATGAAAAGTCATTCGTAGAAACATGCATACATGTATATTTGTATGAATATTTACTAGATATATTTTTTGTGTATATACAAGGGACACATTGAGATTGTTCAAATAAAGCTGCTGCCATCAAATTCAATTTATTGTCCTTTTCCGTTTATTTTCTCCTTCGATACTCCTTTTTTATAACAGTGTACTAAAATACTATTTGGATTTTTCTTTCTGTTCTATTTGTGTTTTTACAATGTCAGACTTAGCACATTTTCATAAAATGTAGTTGACATTTGGAACATACTGGTCTTTAGGTTTTAAGGGTTTTGCATAATAAAACGCAAAATAATTTTCAATCTCCAATGATGAATTTATCAATATCTATTTGAATGCGCTTGTTTTACTAAAGTTAAGGGTCAAAAACAGCAAAATCAAATCAAAAGAATTGTTTTGATTAGGTTTCAATTTATTCTTTGATTGTATATTGAGTTTTCTGACACACTCTCGTAGCTCATGCATGAGCATTTTTTAACCCACTCTCTCCATCTATACTATCATGTTCCCATTATTGATTATTGTTTGCGAGAATGTAATAAAAGAAGTGAAATGATAAGATAGTTGGGTAATATTAAAAATTTAAACGGTTTTAGGAGTCGGTCCATTGACTATTTCATTTATATTTAATGCACTCGATAAATCGCCAAAAATTTTATCGTTTATAGGCTGTTGTGAATGAAATTCATTTCGCTCAATGAAATTATCCTCTTTGTATGACATTTTTACGAGACTCTGGTCAATTTCTGTTGTTGGCGTTTGAGCCGTCACAAAATTTTCATAATTAGGATTTGTTACTGACAGGATGCCAAATCGTCCACCTTCACCCTCTTTAAGACTTGAATAATTGTCTTTTCGTTTTTTTGTGCCTCGGGGTTGTGCATAAAGTCTCAAAACTTTACAATTACATGAAACCAGCATTGATATGAGAAGACCCTATTGTTGCATAACAAAGAGAAAAATAAAAGAAAATCCAATTAAAAAATGAGCATAGGACATAAACTAGTTTAATAGATTCATTCCAACCTCGTCATTAAGTTTTAAATCAAATGAATTGAAAAATTAAATGATTCCAATGCGAGAAGTAAAAATGATTTATCCTACCTGAATTCCCTGGCTAACACTATACACTGCCCATAATTCTGACATATCAGTAATCGAGGCTATCGCTCCAATGAGCTGCACAACTGTCAATATCAACAAAAGCTGAAAATATATTAAAACAAAGAATGAATTAGTTTAAAAAGTCATATACAGTTTTGATGTCTATAATGGATACGCAACCGTGAATTTTATTACAGTTTTTTATCATGTTCATCGTATTCTTCTTTCTTTTCTTCATTTTAAGAGTGTTCTTCCGTAAAACGCTATCAACTTATTTGCTTTTTACTCAACAGTATCAAAAGTTTTTTTTACTTTTTATATGCTATTTATTCTCAGGGAGAAGAAAAGGGAAAGAAAAAGCTGTTAAATTTTTGCCATTCTACGGGAAAGGAAAAGAAAGTTTCGTGTTTTGTTTTTGTATCAATTCTTCTTCGTCTAACATTAAAAAGATTTAAGATTCACTTTCAAGAGAAATGAATGAAGGCTTTCGATTTGGTTGGCTGACTGGTTAAGTAAATTAGTTGGGTCAAAACTAAGAAGCTTACAAAACTATGACCTTTAAAAAAAGACACTTCTTAAACAAAGATATTTCTGAAGTCACTTAGATAATTTATAATAATATGCGCCTAAACTAGTTTCATTAAAAATTTTATTTTCTTATTTCAGGAATTGCGAAAAATTTCTCAAGTGCCCAATGTTGCCAAAAAATTAATTAAAAATAGAGTTGAATCCTTATTCCTGCCTCGTGTTTCTAACATAGCAAATGTTTAATTGTGTTTTGAGAATAGTTGAAGGAATCTCATAAATTATGTAAACTGTACCCAAGTGTATATGGATTTTAAAACATTTTTTATTTGAATTCTGGAAATTGGAAACATTTGTTAGTGAAATGAAGAAAAATAAATTAAATTAAAAATGTTTTCTGTGTAGAAATACTTAGTGTTGAATGAATTCCTCCGTTGTGAGTTTTCTTTTTAAATTAGTAGAAAAAAAGTTTTTGCCCAAAGAATTTCATGGGTCTATGTGAAGAAAGTTTTCCGTTCTACGAAAGTTTTTTCTATGGATACACTTTGTTATGTATACAATTTTCTCGTTAAAGGGACTTTGATGCTGATGATAATGATGACTACAGCAAAACAATAAACTAGATTGTAGATTCGATCGAAATTCAAGTAATAAGGGATTATCTTATTTTAACAATCATTTTATGCTTATTCTTAATTTTGATCAATTTTAATTGGATTCGATTCGTAGAAAAGTGAAACGACGGCAAAATAAAGGCTTTAATAAAGCTAGCATGTAAACTTCTACTGATTAATTAAATTACAGCTCTATTTTAACGCTAAATAGTCTTTCTTACCTTAAAAAACAATCCAACTTGAAGCCCACGTCTTTTAATAATTTTATTTCTTGCACGTTGATCTATCTGCAAAGCAGCAGTTAATTTGACGGCACTAGAAAGCTGCGATGATAGATAAAATCCAGCAAATAAAAGAATGCTTGCGGGAACAAGAAATCCCCAAATATAGCTCGATCCATGCATTAACCTACCCAATCAATAAATAAATAAAGAGAAAGATTTGATGTTATTTTCTGAATTCGCATACATGCGTGTCTTGCTAAAAGGGATAGAAATAAATCAATTTGTTTCTTACCAACAATGTATGTCACTGTTTCCTTCCTCCGCAAGCTGATTACCTCTTGACGAGGAGGCTTTTGCATCACGTTCCTTATAAATGAAGGCAGCTGAAACACTTAACATCAATAATGGAAAACCCCATGAAAATAAACTGTAATGAAACAAGAGAACAGAAAAATGAAAAAGAAATAAAAGACTGTAAAAGGTTTAAAGTAATTCAATTTTAACAGTGTCATAGATTCATATTAGAATAAAGTATTTTTCATGATTTCAAATCAGTCGATTTTTCATTTTTCTTATTTCTTTTTCAAGATTTCTTTCTTGATATTTAGTTGCAGGAGCTAAATAATACGTTTGTCATGTTTTAAATTGCGTCAGTGTATTCTTTTTAGATTTATTTATTTTTCATTTAAATTTAATTCAAGTTGATGAATCTCATTTTATATGAAACATGGCACAGTGAGCTCATTTTATGTCCTCTTTATGTTCTCAAGAGACCAAATAAAAAGAGAGAATAGTCATTTAAAATGTCACTGAGAGTTCAAATAAAAGAAAAAGGAGGGAAAATAAATATTTACGCTCAATGCTAAGACTCGTGAATGATTTTTTTTTGTGTCAATTCAAAATCCATTTTCACAAAAAAATGATAAGGTACAGTACGAAACTTTTCATAGATTTAAAAACCTTAAGAATCGAAATCTCCTGTGTTGCTTAATTTTTTTTTTGAAGAAGTGACTTTTGTTGAGTAACGAAATCTCACACTGGGGGGACCAAAATTTAAACTTTAAAAGTTTTGACATCTAAAGATTCAATAAACTATTATAGCCGAGTGATCAAAATTAATTTTCCAAAAATTTTCTTTCCCTGAAAATTTTGTACTGACTTTTATTTTAGGAAGCGGGCTCGAGTACCCTTAAAACCTCCCGGCTCCCCTCTGAGTGTTTACTATTAGCAATACATTCGGCTATCAAAGCAAGTAAGCCTTATAATAACAATTTTATCACGCATCTCTACCGCATCGTTATAATTTTATTCTCTACTGTTGTTTGCTAACTTTTAAAACAATCCACTTAAACAGCAACATTTGGAAAGATAAAAGAAAAAAAAGCAACATTATTCACTGTGCATGTTAAATGAAATGGAAGATGTCGATTTTTAAAAGGTGATTCTAAGTGCTCAACGAAGTGTGAATAAAGCACATCACATTCTGACCCACGTCTATGAATGGTTTTTTGTCATTTAAATTACAATGTATTCAATACCATATCCTCTAAAAATTCAGAAATTTCTTTAAAAAAGCCCAACAAGTTTTTGTTGTTTACAAAAAAAACGCTACAACATCTACTTGTTAATTCCACTTTTTGTAGCTTCATAGTGCTTATTTTAGAGTAAATAAAAAAAATCAATACTGTAAAGCACTCTTGAATGTATAATGTAAAATAAAAGCGAAGCAATAAAAATTTATGAAACATACGAAAAGAGCGGCAAGATGGTGGATCGAAGGAACGGCATTAAATTTATTTACGTCAGAAGCTTCACGTTGATACATTCATTCTTATGCAAAGGTTAACTTAAATTAGATGTATTGTTTGTGCTTTGCATGTTTGTATTATCTACGATTATATATGTGTAGGTTCATGTTTGAACAGCAAGCTATTAGGTTATCACGCAAATTATAATTTTCAATGAGTATTTCGTCAAAAGTTTCCATGGTTTCTGTATTAACAAAATGAACTGTTACCGACGTTAGAAAGCTTTCTGTGGGTGTGTAAACTGATTTCTAATTATTGTTATAGCTTTATTATACCTATTATAAACCATTAGAAAACCCATTAAAGTAGCTCGAAATAATACTTCCGGATCCTCATTCAAATCTTTGAGATTATTTGCTAGTTGAAAAACGATAGTAAGTTGATTTTCCAGTAGACTGTATTTCAATTCCAATAATAAAAAGAATTACAAAAGAAAATTCTATTTATTCACAATTTCAAATTATACGTGATCAATTTCCAAATTATCAATTTCAACAAAATATCAAATAAATTCCAAGCCTCGTTAAATCATGATGAATTCCATTCATCACTCTGCCGTCTCGATCGGAATTTTACAGACATAATTCAACTTCGCTTAAAGATGTCTTTACAGTAACGGATCTAATTTGACCATCTCTTCCCTTATGTAGAATACCAATCCTTCCAATCTTCCACTTCATTGATGGTACATTCGAATCCATGACGAGAACCAAATCATTCAAATAATATTGAACCTTTTTTGTTGAATCTTTTGGTCTTATTTGAGCGTTGATCAAATCCTTATACCAAAACTTCCAAAATAACTGCTGTGCTTGTTGAATCATATCCCATCGTTTCAGTTGACCTTGTTGTCTATCTGTAAAGTCACGTTTCAGACGACTGTTCAACGGCCGTCCAATCAAGAAATGGCCAGGTGTAAGAGCCTCAAAATCATTTGGATTATCGTTTATAAATGTAATGGGTCGGGAATTCAAAACTGCTTCAATTCTAAATTAGAGAGTTGAGAATTCCTCATATGTCATTAATCGATCTGTCATAACTCTTTTTAAATGATGCTTCATTTGCTTAATTTCATTTTCCCAAAATCCTCCCATATGAGGTGCTCGAGGTGTAATAAAATGCCATTTTATATTTTTGTCATTGTAATATTCTTGAATTTGTTCTTCCAAATCTTTAGCCAATTTCTTGATTTCATTGCCTGCACCTTCAAAACATGTTGCATTGTCTGAGTAGATATCAGTTGGAAGCCCCCTGCGTGATATTAATCTATCGAATGTGCCAATGAAAGCCACTGTTGTCAGACCCGTTAATAATTCTACTTCATTGCAGTTGTATTACGAACCTTCCCAGCTTTAATTAATAAAGGTCCAGCATAATCGATAGCTACCTCTTCAAATGCATTTGATTGATTTACTCTTTCTGGAGGTAAATCTCCCATAATTTGTTTACGACACTTAGGAGATGCTCGAAAACATTTGATGCACTTACTGGTGATTTTATGAATCATCGCTTTTCCTTGCACAGGCCAATAAACTTGTCTCACAAAAAATAATGTTGAAAGTTTTGTCGAATGCAAATTACCAAGATGAATCTGACGAATCAAATTATAAACAAATTGACACTTAGGCATGATGATTTGATGCTTATTTTCATATGTTAAACTTTCACATTCACCAATGCGACCTCTTGTTCTCATAATATCATAATTATCCAGAAATGGTGACAGTTGTTTGATATTAGATGATAATGAAACTTATTTTCCTTTTGTCAACTTCTTCAATTCTTGAGGGAAAAAATGTAATTGTATAAGATGAATTACTTTGTTTTTACCTAGAAGCTCATAATCTGCATGCTGACGTTTGATTTTGATATTTGCTTTCTTCTTCCATTTATCTATTATTCTTAATAAAGATGCAAATATTTTAAATAGCTTTGTTGGATGAGAAATTCAAACATTTCAACTTGAATACTGTAACTTATGGAACATCATGTGCTCCTTATTTGGCAACGAGAGCATTAAGTCAACTAGCAGATGATTATCAGCATGTATATCCAAATGCTTGTGAATTGATTCGATCAAATTTTTACGTAGATGATCTGTTGTTTACATGTGATACTGTTGAGAAGAGTAACAAATTACGAAAAGAATTATGGGAAGTATTCGAAAAGGCGTTAATAATTTTGATGCGATTCATTTACAAGAATTTGTCTGTACATCTTAGCAATATCAGCTTTTAATGCTATTGGTTTTGTTAAGAATTTTATGATGAGATCATAAAGTTCTGGTTGTACTGTTGGTCCAATAAATAACGTTTCATTAAGCGACAAACCAGTTGCAGACTTGCAGGATGCATCAAAAACAACACGCAATTTTGTTGTTGTACTATCTTCCTTCACAACTCCATGATGTGGAAGATAATAACACGATTCAAATGGTGACGTTAAATTTTTCATCTCAGTCATATGTCCCAATTCTTCATATTCATTTATGAACTTTTTGTATTCACGATAATACAAATCATCTCGCTTGAATCTGTTTTCTAAGCCTTTAAATCGATTAATTGCATTAGAATTATCAACGCATTATTTGGAGAGATGGTCAAAATGAGAAATTCAAACATTTCAACTTGAATACTGTAACTTCCGGTATCCGGTTCGAAGGACCATGAAAAACGATAGCAAGTTGATTTTAGGAACAAAAAAAATTCTATTTATTCACAATTTCAAATTATACGTGATCAATTTCCAAATTATTAATTTCAACTAAATATCAAATAAATTCCAAGCCTCCTTAAATCATGATGAATTCCATTCATCACTAGTATTAAATAAGTAATCTTTAATTTTTATACGTCGTGTGATATTATTTTTGCCATAAAAAAGTAACCTCTATCTCAATTTCAATTTTTTACCAAACTTTAAGGAGAAATTCTTACTATCCGCAAAAGAAAATTGCTTGAAATTCACACCAAAACCATTTTTTGTTTACTTCAACAAATTATTTGTTTACCTTCTCAGATCAAGATAATACACCTTTCAGAGATGAGCTTAGATACCATATTGAATAACAGCTTTAAAAGTTCAAAACACTCAGATTGCCTTTTTACCTTTTTATCTAACCCGTGCCACAAATGTTGAAAATTCTATGGAAACATCCTAATTAGCAACAATTAGAAATTCATAATACTCTTAATATGAGATGGTAATGAATTAAAAGGAAATATTTTCTCATTATGATTTTGATAGAAAGGATTTTGATTACAATTATTTAAGCATTTTCAACAAATTAAGGATGATCTTAAATGAAATGAAATTTGTTATTAATTCTTATTAAAATTGCCAATTTGCAAAACATAAAGCTTCTATAATCCTTTCACAATCTAAAACATTCTCATATCATAACAAACAACTCATTTCGGGTGTATTGGACATAATCTCTGGTATCTTTTTTGAATGCCAAATTAAATAAGATTGCACTTGATATGTTTCATTATGTCTAGCACATAATTGCCAACTATTATAGTAAATTAGGCAAATGTTTACTAATAATACCATTTTAGTGTCATTTATTGTCAAACTTGGATGTAATGCTGATAGCCATAATTATCGACATTTTGTCGTGTTGGTGAAACATCACAACTTTTTTTGTAATATGCCCCACATTAAGAAGAAGAACAATGATTAAACAATCATATATTATTTAATTATTATATCACAGTATCTTTAACAAAATAAATATGTCATTCTAAGGTATTACAAAAGAGGAGCCGGCACTATACAAAAGCAACACAAAACTCGTCAAAAATAATTAAACTTGGACATGTTATTATTGTTCTGCTTTTTTTACAAGGCATGGAACACTTTTCTATATGACCACAGACTCAATTTTCGCTTGAAAATTCATTTTCTGAATACTAAATTCTAATAGCCAAACATAAAAATTTGCAGATAGAATCTTGACAGTGAAAAGCTAGTTTCCAAAGCTTGAATTAAACATTTTTCTCACAGCATCTAACCTGTAATGTGCGAAAACTTTTCCCATTTTCTGTTCTGGCTGAAGAGATATGTTTCTGTTTCGACGAAATATAATAAGAGAATGATGGCAACAACAACAGATCCAACATAATGATGCCAATTTCATAAACAACAGCGCTAATGATAGTGATAAGCATAATTCGGCGTCCTATAGGGAAGAAAATAGAGATACGAAAAATTCATCAGAAAAGGCAAAAGAAAAATGAGGTCCATTAAGCTTATCTACCACCATAGAAAAATATTCTTTCCATGATTTTGCGCTACTTTCTGTCTTCATTTTTCGAGACGACAGAAATAAGCTTACTCTTGTTACAATTTCTATGTATTCTTGTTTCAGAAAAAGGAAAGGAAGTTACCTGAATTCCACCAACACCAATGACAAATAGCAGCTGACTCATAAATAATGACGCTAGCAGGCTTAGAAGGGTTGTACCTGCTAATGACCTCAGGTCACTGAATAGACTGTAAATGAGAAAATTTTTAAAAAGGAAAAAAATTTTTTTTCAATGATGTAATTTTAGCATAAGTAGAGGCTGACATGTTACGTAACATGAATTAATGTTATTCATGATGTTACTAGATAAGTAAGTAGATGGTGTTGGTTTCAAAGTAACTCTCTTTTATTCATAAAAAAATTATTTTACAAAAAATCAATAAACATTTAAAATAAGAAAATGATTTCATGCAACCTACATTCATTCACATTTTTACTTTAAAAAAAATTAAATGCAGACTTCAAAATGATAGATGCACATCCATTAGCATGAATTAAATTATTTTAACTTTGTCGAGACGAGTTAATTTTGTATGAATTGAGTTCAATTTCAAACCATAAATATGTCTGAACAGGCAAAATCTAACAACCGGAGCTTCCTCTCGCTGGAAAAATGTTGATGATGATTATACGAAAAATTTGAATTGAAAATGGTGAATGAGTTTAAAAATATATGTGCATGTTAAAAAAATATATTGTGTCTAATTTTAATGAAACAATTTCAAAAAGAACATAAATGAAATTTTGTAGCGTTATATCAAAATGCCATTAACTAAAAATAAAGTGGAAAATGTAATTATGTAGGCGTAAAAGAATAATAAAAATTGTTTTCCTTTTGCTTTCACCCGTATAATATGACGTAGGCATAACTCTCCAACACGATGAAACTTGAAAGTGGGGTCACTAGAAATTTAAAAAACTTTTACAGCTTTTACTATACTTCCTTAGTATACTATCCTACTTTATTACTAATTTTTTTTCTTAAACTCAAAAAGGTCAATTTCTATCTCAAAAGTATGTTGATTCACATGCATAAACGAATAAACATGAAATATTAATAATATTCACGAAGCTAGCAACGAGATTTCACATAAAGTTTATCTAAGAATAATTTTCATGGTTAACCATTCTTTACGTTACTTTACGAGTTTGAGCGACTAAGTATGAACGTTATTATTTATTCCCTTTTCCGTGGGTGTGTATACGCGAGGTGTTTAATTTTTTCTTCGTACCATTAACTTTTGTGTATACTTTATTCCATTCTTCTTTGTGCTCAAAAATTTTTGTTCATTGAATCGTTTGTCGCCCTAAAGGAAAAAATAAATCAACCACAATGTACTGTAAGTAGATGAACATTCAAATAATAATCCTACCGAGACAGCAGCACACAATAATGTCAGAATATGAAAAGGAGGGTGAACCGATGAAAAGAGAAAAAGGAAAGAAACTTAAAGAAATATTTTTTTTTTTGGTTGGAAACGAAGTTGTGGCGCATATTCTTTAAGCTTTTAAAATAGTCTTTTATTTCTTTAACCAGTAAAAATAAATGATTTCAATGAGTAAGTATCTGAGGTTTCTAGGAAGTCAAACCGAGTATAATTCCGCATATTTCAAAAATAATTTTCCGCGTAAAAGAAATAAATAATTTTATCAAGATTTTATAAACAAAAAATTCTTCAAGTCTCAATGAAACTCCACACGTAAGACTTTAAACAATATGAAAAGAGAGAAACACAAAAGAAATGAAACGAAACGAAGGAGAGAAAATGTCTTTTATGATGAAATGCTTCCTCAAACCTATTATGTCTGTGAAAACTGATTGCTTCATTGCTCTCTTTTGCTATCCAGTATTATGTGTAAGATATTGAAAGAAGGAAGAAAGCACAATAAAGAGCTTTTATAAAGCTCTTGTGACTTTCAACATTACATTTCCATGGAAGAAATGATTTTTTTCCATCCATGCATTTCATGATGATGACGAAACAATGATGATAATGATAATGATGTTATCGCTTTCAGTTTGATGACATTCAAACTTTTCCATTGCTCTACTCAGTTCTGCTATTTTTCAATCTTGTCTGTATTTAAAATAAAAAAAAATATTCACTCGTTGCTTTGAAGATGGAAAAGGGCTGTTCACTTGGTTTTACGTGTTTCTATATCTTGATGATAACTCTTTTATATTCAAATTATATCCAAGCTATGCCACAATTTTTCGGATACCTTATTCTTTTCCCTTATTCTCATTTAGCCTAGTCTATTTGTGTATGGAAATAAAGGGACTGCTTACATGTTTTGAACCCATAAAAGGTGTGCGATAAAGTAAACAATCCACAGAATCATAATCCTAAATTTAAAAAATTCAACCCCAATTTCAATTCATGTTGAAATTCCATGCAAGCAAAACAAATTTCAGAATTTTCTAAAATCAGAAATTCGTCATATTGAATAATGAAGAACATTATGCAACCAACAAATAACAACTTTTTATCACAACCCCAGAAAAATTCAAAACAGTGAGGAAGTTTATTTCTTTCGTTTTCGTTTTCATATACAAGTTAATATCAAAGTGCTGTTTACAATTCTAAAGAAAGGAATCTGGCCATCAGGTGCATACTACAAATCATTATTACGGAGAGATTATTGTATTATGGTCGAAATAATGGTCTTATTAAAATAAGAAATAAATAGGAAACTTCCGTGTACTCTCAAGATCATTAATAATTTTTTTTTATGGAACATAATATGAACACTTCCAGAATGAGTGATTTCAGTCTCAATTCTCTCATTTAATACTTAGTTTCCGCTACAGATTAATATTCCTATTTTTTTGCTATGGCAACAACAAATTATCAACATGCGAAAACGCTCTAAAGATATCTCAGTAATAATTTACTTCATTGCGTTCTATGAGATATGTCATCCTCTTTCTTATGCATCAGAAACTTTAAATGAACTGTGCCAAAAAGTTTTATTTTACATTTGATTTTTTTTTTCAAATGATTAATTTTTCATTTTACAGCTATTGGCACACCTCAAAACGTACAGTTTTATTTTGAATGCGAGTAGAATATTGAAAGACTTACCTGTAAGTGATAAAAGCAAATGCTAATCCGACTAAGGATATTGAACTGCCAAGTACGACACCCAATGCCACAATACCTTCTTGACTGCCCCATGCAGAACCGGGATTATATAATGATGATGTGGGTGAAGATATATTGAATGAGGATGGAAAGCCATGAAATCCGTGACCAGTTGTATAAAGTGTGTCCATCTGTGTCGTATATAAGAAAAAACATATATGTTTAGAAAAAAATTTCTTATGTTAGCTATACTATTTAATAGGATTTAACATATGCCACACATATGTCAAGATCAAATTTCTTATATTGCATCAAATTTTTCATCTATTGTACTCATTAGGGATCGCATTAATATTTGTGTTAAAAAATTATTTCCTTATGTGTGTTATATACGTTTTTGTCTCAATGATATTGATTTGCCATAATTTCAGGCTTTTTCAAGGTCTTTTTCCCAAATTTTATTAGAATGTAATAAGATTAAATTTCCTTCGATTAAAAGTGTCCCATAATGAATCATAGCAAAATAAAAAAAAAAGGCTAATAGCATTACGATCAGATTGCGTTTCTAAAGGGCATTTAAAAAGGATGAAAAATTAAAGTATCTTTACCTTACTTCCTTTGAAAGCATTAAAACTTGAAAGGAAAAAAATGATTCAAAACAAAAAGTTTACAAGAATTTCTTGAAATTTAAAAAAAACTATTTCCTTGCCTCTTAAAAAAGTTTATTTTTGAAATAATTTTTTTTTTAAAGTAACGATAACTTTCCGAATTCTTCTTAAATCAAAGCATTCATAATAAGCGAAATAGAAATTTTTTGATGATTTTGCATAAATCGATTCGAAATCATTCAAATGAATCAATGGAAAATAAATCATGATGATTTCAATCTACTAAGAATAGAATAAATGATGACTATCAATAAAAGCTTTTTGCGCGAATCTCTTCTTTTTTTTGAATTTATTTATAGAGTCATTGCTTGCAATTTTATAAATAATCCTGATGATGTTTAACATTGTTGTCTGAAAACCTTATAAAATTGACTCCGAAAAAGTGACAACAAACATTGAATTGTATTTTATTTTCATTATACGTGAATAAATTTTACAATTTTGTCTACTTGTTCAAATGAAAAAGCTACTTTAAATTAAAATAATAATCAGCGAGTAACACTATGGCTTATTTACATTTATTTGCTCAAAATTAACAAATGAAATAACAGTAAGTTCGATGGTAATATTGCCACTGCAACTATACTGAATTCATATCAATATTGCCAATGAAGTATATGAACTCCTAGCAGAAGTTCATGCTTATTTAAATCAATTTAAATTATGTAACTTAATAGCTTTTCCTATTCATGAGATTGAAACAAATTTTTATATTCATTCAAACAGTGTTGGAGCAAAACTTTCTTCCTTCCTCCATTCTTTTTCTTTCCGCTATTGCTTCATTTTTATGTACTGTTGTATGTTCTCCTTCTTTTTGTTCTCTCCAAAAAGCAATGTATCAGATATATTTCATTTGATTTGTGCAAATATATGTAAATCGATATGTTTACTTTTTGTATCGCTCATGGTGCTTAAACTTTTTTTTCCCTAGAACTTCTATCTCTTCTTCTTCATCTTTTATTTATTCACAGCTTTAGTATTTATTTTGAAAAAAAAAAATTCACTCGAAATATTTTTAATATCATGGTGTAGTAAGACGTAGACACTCTAGATCTTTATTTGACTTAGTACAAATAGATGTCTAGAAATATCTATAAACAAAAGTCAAGCCTAAACATTTAAGTGTTCAGTTCTTGCTTAAAAACAATATATCTCTATTACGAAAACAACCATAAGCAGTAAACGACGAGTCAAATTTGGAGAAAGAACGTTTTAAATAAATATTTATTGCAACAACAATCTAAACCTCCCTTCTGGAAATATTATTATATCAATTGTGTACATACATACTGTTTAAAAGTTCAGTTCTTGGAATAAGAAAAAAAGAATAAAAAAGTTTCCATATACAAAATTTATTTTCCTTACATATTGCATTATTTATGCACATAAAGTTTTATTTTCTTCACTTGGCGTGTTTCATTGGGGAGCAATTTTCATATTTCTCAAGTTATGAATATATTATTGCTATTATTCTTTTTCACACGAAGTCATTTTTTTTTAATTTATTCAGCTTCTACGTAGAAGTTTTAAATTATACATTTCACTAAAAATTTAAAGGAACTAAACAGCTTTGGATTTTTTGTTGTTGTTTGCAAACAATCACTTTCAATTTTTAAAACTTTAGAATTAAATTTTTTCAATCTATTTAGCGCATTTTCTGACTAGAGTCGAAAGGCCGTCACTTCTCTCAACAGTTTTTTTTTTTGATTAATAAGGAGAAGGCTCATTTACTACTTGTTTATTTTATTATCCATAGAAGAAAATGCACTTCTGGATTCATACCCAGAATTTGTGGATTAGTTCATTCCAAAAACATGTGTGTGCTATAAAGTTCATTGGACTCTCGAATTGAATTGAATAATATTGAGCATAAAAAATTATTTGTGCTTTGCGAAAAATTTGCCAATTAGAAATAAAACTGTGCCTTTTTTAAAGCATATATGGGTTTTGTCCAAACAACACCATTTCGATTTTCAATTTATTCCGTTCATACCTTTTTCTCTCCATTGTAGTTCTTTGCATCGAATCTTAAACGAGTTTTGAGACTTGAAAATGAGAAAAGGAAAGAAGATGGAATAAAATAAAATTTCAACAAGCTCTTTTTACCATTCAAAATCAATTTCTGATAGAATTTCTTCAAATATTAAGACACAAATTTGCTCTTTCCTTTACAAGACGTTTACCAAAAGTTTACGGAAAGAGACAAAGAAAAAAAAGGTTTCTGATTTCGTATGCAAGATTGAGTTGATAAAAGTGTTCATCCTATTCCACTTTGTAATACTTTCTTTAAATATGTTTATTCACACTAAAGCCCCTTTTTATTCATTCTGTTGTCTCGTAAACTTTATCCTTTTATTCTCATCATCTTCAATTTTTTTTACAGGTATGAAGATCAAAGTTTGTGAGATAAACTAGGGAAAACAAAACTTTTCTCTTTCAGGCATTGTATTCCTACTTCACGCGTATTAATTTTCATTTATCAGCTGATATCGAACCGTCTTAACTTTTGTTCGATTTTACCCTTGAGTATTAAATTGTAAATAAATTGTTTCTCTTATTTGCATAACAATCTTCATACATTTCACGAGAAAAGAAAAACAAAAGACGATAAAATGTTAAGAAATCGAAATTCAATTTCAATCTTATTAAAAAACTTTTTCGAGTTGAAAAGTTGTTGAAGTTTCAAGGAAGGATCAATTTTTTTGTTTACAAGAAATTAATCAAAACTTTTGTCAGAAATGCTGATAAATTTTTTTTAAAAAACCTTGTATTATTTTGTATTTATACAAAAAAGTATACCAAATTCCCAATTACATTCCGTTTGTTACAAAGGTTTTCTCACATCAAGAACATGAAAAAATCCTGAAGGGAAAGTAATTTCATATGAAATTTTGCAATATAAATATATTACCGTGAGCAACAAAAGTTTAGACATTACTGCTGTTTTGGAAGGAAGTGAATTTAAGAAAAAAACGAATTTCAATTTTATCCGGCGGCATATCTTGAAAAACTTTTTTATTATCCCATCAATTGCAAACAAACGAAAGTAATTTCTTAAGATGAGTATCAATATTTCTTATCTTATGGTATAAGAAAAATTAATAATGTTAAAATCACCAGAAAATACTGTAACACCTTCGAAAAGCAATTAAAAGGAAAGAAAAAATTAAGAAAATTTTGTTTTTTTTTGCCTCATAAATAAAAATTTGAACTCAAATAAAATGAAAACTTTTTATATTCCCTTATTATTTTCGAATGAAATTTGAGAAAAATAGCATTCAACAACAATAATACGAGATCTTAACATTTTAAAGTGTTTTCACGCAATCATCTCATCAAAAAATAATTTTTCTACCTCATCATGAAACGAAAGTGGAAAGATTTATATCAAATTCTTATTCTTCTTATTGTCCTATTACTTGTAATTTTATTTTATTTTTCTATTTCAACAATTTTTCTTTTTTTAAGAGGCTCAAGGTTTATTCACTCACTGGAAAAAAATTATTGGTATTGTTTCGCAAGGTTGCACGGTTACTATCTTATTAAATCTTCACAATTACATTACAATGACTTTTTTCTTGAAGTGATAAATTATATTAAGACTTTAAAAGCATCCTTCTTTGCTTATCGGTTTCATTGGATAAAAATGTTTCACTCGGAATCTTTTAATTACATAAGTTATATTTTATTAACTAAGATTCAAAGGAAATAGCTCTTGAAAAAGTTGGATAATTATTTTGTTATTCATCATTTCATCAAAATTCAAATCTTCGAATTTGTTAATTAACATTTGTCTAAGGAAATAAGAAAGTGTAGAAAGCAAAGAGATTCTGCTTAAAATCATAAAAAAAAAAATACTAACGACAGCATACATTCTCAAAGAAATGTTTCTCCAGGCATTTTCAGCGTAATGAAATTTTTTCGAAATGTTTACAACAATGATTATAAATGTACATTTAGCACACAATAGAAAATGGTGAATCAATAGCTTGTCAGTGTGAAATTTAGGGAAGTGATAATCTTTATACACAATTTCTGAAAAAAATCTTCTCAATGAGAAAATTTTTTCTTCCTTTTCCCAGTTTCACGCAATCATAAATCTGAATAACAGCTAGGCTTATCGAAAAAAATTATAAAAAAACTTCATGAATAATTTTTTCAATTGGAGACCAAAGACTTAGGTTAAGAGAAATGCCATTTTTAATACTAAAGTATGAACGAAATACATTAATTCAGATTAATTCATTACAGTTATAAAAAATTATGTTGGGTTTACTTCTTTCTCCACAATAAATTGTTGAATAAAATTTCTAGCTTTGCTGATACATTAATTGTATCGTTCGAGATATTGAAAAAATAAATCAACGCACATCCATCAAGACGTATTAGTAAGAACGCCTTGTTAAACACAAGTACATTGTTAGCCAATATTCCCGAGAAATAGTAGTTAAGAGTTAAACCAATCATTTATTGACTAATGGCTATCAAGGTATCAAAATGTTTTTATAGTCGATACTTTTACTTCGATCCACAGATTTGTTTTACTTTGCTACTATTGTTATGATTTAATCATGTTCCAAATAAGAGCATCTTTCTTCTTTTTACATTTTGTGTGTACTTTACATTTCTAAATAAAAAAAAAATTCATAACAATACACCGAATAAAAAGATCCGAATTTGAGTGTTTTGTAAACATACATTTTTTGATTTTTTTTCTGATCTTCTTATCGATTGAAAATTTGCCAGGTAATCTTTTTTCAATAACCCTAGTAAAGGAGAAGAAGAAAAGAATACGTAAAAAGTTTCCTCTTTTTCCCTTTTATATGTTTAGATGTTTGTATAAACGTATGGCAAACATTTGCGGTCGTTTTACATGCAATAAATTTGAAATTTTTTATACTTTTTAATACATTTTTCAGGCCTTGAGGCTTATTTTTACAGCTTATAATCTTTATCCTCCATATACATTTGAGCTCCACCATTTTTAGATGACGATTAATTTATGCAAAATAAACAAAAATAAAATTATATTGGCACAATGAAAACCTCAAATTTATTGTTTTTAGAAAGGAAAGCAATTTTTTAATTCATTAATTTTCTGTGTCTGTTGAAAAATAATTAAACTTACTTTTGTGAGTATAAATTTTCCACCCAGTCACTTCTTGACAACGTCATTTCAGATATTATTCATTCTTTGACTCATTTTTAAATTTAAAATTACTATAACCTAATAGTAAATAATCTTATATAACCTTATAGTAAACCATTTTACTAATTACTACCAGTTTGCTGTCAAAATAATTATCCCTTACTCACATTAATATAAATGAAATAAAAAAAAATCTGTTTTTCTTTTTCAAAGTGAAGGCTGAGCAAATGAAGAAGACTAATTCATTAATTATAGCTGGCTAATGCTTTCCTTTTTCTATTGCATTATTTTCATGATTTTTTAACAATTTCTAGAGTTTTTTTTAATTTCTTATAGGGTAAATACTTTTGAAATTTGCACAATTTTGTTCATGAAAATTTCATTTGCGTGAAACTTTTTAACCGATCTTTGTTAAGGCTTGGTTAAGGTTTTAAACTATTGAAAATAGTGGAAATTTTCATTTCCAACCTCTTTTTTAAAGCTACGATGCTTATCAGCAGTGATATTCGCATTTTATTTTCACCTTTTGAAATTTGCATGGAAATTTTAAAAATTTGCACAAAAAACTTTTGAAATATGCACACTTTTTTGATAGCAATCCATGACATTCTTGAATCAAATTTGTGTCAACAAACAATATGTTTACAATTTTAAGGGTGAAGAAATATTATGTTTCGTCGGAAAGTTCCAAAGAAATCCAATAAATTTATTGTTATTGTGTTTTTATAACATCGTAAGAAGCATCGTCGTTGAATATCAACAGGAAAATTGAACAAAAATCATGCAAGGAAAAGCTGCATATCCATTATATGGATTATCTACAAAATCAAGTTGTGCGAGTAAATCTCAAATATAAGCTGTTTGTTATATCATTCAAACTCATCTATAATTATTCTTTGTAAGAATTAAAACTTGCTGTATCGAAAGTTTAGATGCATAGCACATTTCTTTATTTTCTAGATTAAATTCTTCATAACCGACATGTCCAAAATATATCCTCAGATATCCTCTAATTTTTTAAAATCACCATTCTCTTTTATCTTTATTTTAGGCATAAAACATTAACGTTTTGAATCAGAAAAATTTATGTTTACATAAGAAGAATTGATGTTTACATCAAATTTCGCAATATCTCCTAAGCTTAAAAATGTGCAAATTTTAAAAGTTTTGATACATTTTTGTGCAAATTTTAAAAGTGAAAAACAAGCTTTTTTAAAAGTGATTTTTTGGGCACTTCCGCTTATTCTTTCACAAAAGAAATACTTCCAAAATTTTAAACAGCCTAAGAACTACATTTTTGGATATCAAAATATTTGATAAAGCCACTGATTCTATCCCAAAACTTTATATTTTGCAAAGTTTCGTTTTGTATGAAAAACTGATTGCTGAAGGAATTGATCTTCCTGATGCCTTTAACAACTCAAAGTGGTACAACAGCATTTGTACAATAATTATACAAAGATTTTGTGAAGAAAGTGTTATCAGAAGTGGATATTCTGGGAGAAATTTGTATTTATTATTTTCATATGAGTGTGCAAATTTCAAAAGTGTGCAATTTTCAAAAGTATTTACCCTACTGATTTCACGAAATAAAGGAAATATGAAAATGACACTTTAATTCGAGAATTTTAGTCATTTATACATTATAATTTTAAGAAAGTAGATTTAGATAATCTTTTCTCTTGTATCCATTTATTTTAGCTTGGATTATTTATCAACATAATTTCCAGCAATGTTTTTTCATTGATGATGACAAAATCAATATCAATTACACTTAATTCGCGTATAGCACAAATTTAATTCTTTTTTTTTACTCGAGTAGGTAGATGATAGACAGCGGCAAGGTGTGGTTTTTAATTCACTTCGGTGAAATGATTGTAAACTTACGTTGTATGAAAAATATTCTATGATGACAAAAAATGACGACTTTTAAGGACTAGTATATACATTTATATGTGTCTACTGTACATACAGTGATATGATGATGATTACTTTTAATATAAACTTGTATATATATTTAAATTTATTTCAGCAAAGTGTTGCAATTATTATTAAATTTTATCACGAAATACACTTAATTCACTTTTATAAAATTCTTATTTTGCTCGTTTTTCACTACAATTCTGTATGTCTATATACTTTTTTTTTGTGGTTTCAATTCACAGTATAATATAAAAATCGATACATCATGTAAATTATTATTATTACATTTTTTTCTTCCTTTTATCTTCATATACACACTCACACACTTTTGGTAAAAAAAAAAGCGAGAATATTTTTATTATTACAAGTCCCTTTGATATTGTTGTGTTGAATTTTTTCTTTTGTGAAAAAATCTCTTCTTTTTTTCTTCCAAAACATCAACAAGAAAGAAGTCAATTATAGAATTCAAGAATCTTCGTTCTCTATACGATTATGTGTCCCTTGATATGTATTAAATTTTATTTCAATTTTTTCACATTCACTCAATTATATCTTGACTCATTTATATATTCTTCCAACCAAAGGCAACTCACGAAAGGGAACTGAAAATTTTTTCATTTTATATCTACGGAGCCTAGAAAAGAACTGAATTGGTTTGAAAGAAATACTTCAACAAATTGTAATTTTTCCTTCTCTTTTTTTCTGTCAAAAAGCTCCTTTTGCTCTCTTTTTGAAAATTATTCTCTTTGGAACTACTCCCTTAAATGCAGAGAATATTATACAACAAATTTAATATTAAAAGCACGTGGCCAGTATTGAATGCAATAATATTATATAAATAAATAATATATGTTCAAACAATGAGTTGTTGTAGGAAGCAGACAAAAGTAGAAAACTGTTTATACGCTTATGAGAAATCCTTTTCGAACGATTTAATGATTTTAATGGAGATGAAATATTAAATTCATTCCGAAGCGAGAATTTTTGTCCGATGAGTATGAGTGAAAAAATATTTTTATATAATGAAAATAAATGTTTGTCTTTTAACTTACGAATTAAATTTTATTCATTTCGGGAAAATACTCGAAGAAAAGAAAAAGTTTTTATCTCTTAGAAATAGCAAATGTCAGAGTTTCAATTCAAATATTGATAAAATATTTATGGTGTAATTTTATTTGTGAATTGAACTTAAGACTTTAATCAATTGGGTGCATTTTGAAGCTAAAATAAAGTAATCTTGTGCAAGCTTTCGGAAATTTTTAAAATATTTTACTGCTAAAAACCTCAATTTTGTTTCTACATAGTTATCAATCATCCATTCGTGACTTGTTGTTTACGACAAAATTTGCCAGAGTCATCTGCATGCGGAAGTTTTTATTTGTAAACAAATTTGTGTAAAATGTACTGGATTATGCTGTTTCATATCCTCAAGTTATTTTCGCATAATTCTTATGACATATATTTTTGAACCTTACGAGCTGTTCTAAAAAGTTTTACTGTATCCTGTTCAATAATTCATGAAATCTTTAAAACCACCAACATTATTGTTTATTTATTTATTCTCATTTATTCATAGATTCTGCCTTAAATGTTGAGTTCTAAATAATGAATTCTAAATGCTAAAAGACCTACAATCATGGAACCTTTTTGACTGTAGCTTATTTCCAAATTAATATTTCATAAAAATTTACATAGGGCTCGTTCACTTATTACGTAACGCAAAAAAACGAGTTTTTAGACCCCCCCTCCCCCCCCTGTAACAAAGCGTAACAAAATCTTAGACCCCCCCTCCCCCCCCATAACGTAACAATAATTTTTTTCATTTAAATTGTTTATCAAATGTTTATTATACTTCCTTTAAGTATGTAAAATAAACAGTTTTACTTATAACTAAAAAGCAGAGATCGAAGCCGATTTTTTCGGCTTAACTCAATTTTTGATTTTTTTGATAGTAAAAAGCCATTTAACACCCATTTCAAGTATTTAAATTGAACTTTATGTGCTTTACTATGATTCTGTGTAACATTTTGTCAGCATGTAGCTATAGGAAGCTCAGAATTTCAAGATAGCCGATTTTAAGCCGATCGGCCAAAGACTTAAAAAACAAATAACATTTTTCTTGAAGTTAAATCTGTTGTTAAGACTAAAAACCAAGCGACCAAAACAGGAGCAAATAAAAAAACGTTAAAAAACTTTTTAAAAAACACGCTTTTATCAAAAAGACTAAAAACCAAAAGGTTGAAAATAAAATAAGATCACACTTTTAGCAAATCAGGATTTTAAAAGTTTTCTTGTGACAACTAGAAATGTAACATAAGTTTTTTTCAAAATATTGTGATTAAGGCCAAGAACACAATGACTCGAAAAGCGTGGGGCTTTGAGATTTGACGCTTCTCTTACTTAAGAACTTAGTTGAACTAAGAAATTCATCCTTAAATTACGCCCCACGCTTTTAGAGTCATTGTGTTCTTGGACTTAATCACAATTTTTTGAAAAAAACTTATGTTACATTTCTAGTTGTCACAAGAAAACTTTTAAAATCCTGATTTGCTAAAAGTGTGATCTTATTTTATTTTCAACCTTTTGGTTTTTAATCTTTTTGATAAAAGCGTGTTTTTTAAAAAGTTTTTTAACGTTTTTTTATTTGCTCCTGTTTTGGTCGCTTGGTTTTTAGTCTTAACAACAGATTTAACTTCAAGAAAAAATGTTATTTGTTTTTTAAGTCTTTGGGAAAAAGCGTGTTTTTTAAAAAGTTTTTTTAACATTTTTTTTATTTGCTACTTTTTAGTCTCAATCTTTCAATCGAATATCGACCACAGCAATTCAAATTCAACTCCACTTCGTTTTACTCCGTTTCGTTCAACTGTTTATAGATTACATTTTTTCATTCATTTGTTTTATAATTTAAGTCATACCTGGAAACAGATGAAACTTCTTAAAAAATATCCTGAACTTCAATTATGTGCGCTTTCTGTGCTTTTAAAACATTCATTAGTAAAGGACATTAAAAATGAATCTTGGAGATTTTGTGTTTATATACAAATATACTTCAAGCCGTTAATAAATAGAAAAGTAAATTTAATTAAGTTGGTGAAGTTTTATAAATAATGTAATACATTAAAAACAGCATAAATATATGCTCAAACTATGTGTGCTAAATGCATATCTCATATTAATAGTTATTTTGCATTAATTCGTAACGGACTTGTGCTTAACGGTTTTTTTGAAAATTCAAATTTTCACTTACGAATATTTATGAAAAAATTACATGTCAATTTTTTTGTCTTACCGGAATATCTTTAGCTGCTCAAATTTATAGTGTAATTAATATTTAGTAATATTAATTAGACCATAATGAATCACATAAATGACTTTTGAGCATTTCAAATATAATATTTTAAACAAATCAAAATTTTATATCATTGACATTGGATTGTTTTCCCATATAAAAAAGTTTTACTTAAATTTTACTATAATTAAGCATTTTTGTGGTTTCAAAAAGTTAAAATATTGTATTGTCACCGGGAATACGTGTGAATAAAAAATTTGAGCTCGATTGGAGCAGCAGAAGTGGTCGAAAAATCGATTGCAAGTTTTGAACGTGACAAAGAAACCAACAGACAGAGCAACTCAATAAAAAGCATGTAATAATAATAATAATAAAAATTGAGTTAAGCCGAAAAAATCGGCTTCGATCTCTGCTAAAAAGTTCTTAAGTTAAAATTTAACGTTAAAAAAATTTAAAATTAATATAGAAAAAATTATAAAAAAATATATTTTTTGAAAAGTTACGTAACAAAATTTAGACCCCCCCCCCCCCTCCCCCTGTAACAAACCGTAACAAAATCTTAGACCCCCCCTCCCCCCCTAGTGCGTTACGTAATAAGTGAACGAACCCATACCAACTCAAATATTTAATTAATACCAACCCAAAAAAATAAGAAATAAAAGCATCAGAATGGGAATATAATAAAAATGAAAAACATTAATTTTCCATTTCTAAAAAGCGGGAAATTCTCAGAAAACCCTGATAAAAGAAACTGACTAATTCTCAACAAAGAAATGTCAGTCTAAAAGGAGAAATTACATAATACATGGTTTCTACTTGGACCATTGGACCATTTTTATAGATATGAATGCATTCAAGTTTTTAGAAGCAGCATAACAGGAAAGAAATTTAAAAACTTTAAATGGATGTGAGTCAAACATGGATTTTACCAAAATGAATATATAGCTTTTAGTTCTGTTTTTAATCAATTTTCCTTACTCTCTTGGTTAACACTGCGGCAACAAAATAGCAACAGTCAAATGCATTTTAGTAGACAGGACGTAGGAAAGCAATTTTGTATTTGACAGCTGAATTAATTGTTAAAATTTTTCCTGAATCAAATTCATGATTTATTGTGTTATAGTAATTTACAGTCATTATTTTGAATTATTCACTGAAATTATTTGATTTTCTCAGTTCATCCAGTACTGCATTTGAATATTCATAAATTGAGGAAAGAAAACTTTTGTTAAGAGGAAATTATTAATTGAATAATTGAGCAGCAATTGGTCAATAATATGTTTTGTTGAGTATTTTGCAAAAAAAAATATATTACATTTTCAAAATCGAAAATTTTAAGGTCGACTTGTTCCAACCTCACAACATTAAAAGCATTTTTCATTCCCTTAAAATGGTTTTGATTACGGATTCTTCTGTTTTAGCAATGAAAATTCAAATTTTCGTTGTGTCTCATAATTCTATTGCTTAATGAAATTCTCATTCACTGTGTTGAGTAATAAAAAGAACACAACCAGCTGCTTGTTTTTTTTTTTTTCATTTTTATGTCAAACAGAGAAAGTAATTTTAAGGAAAGATTTTAATTTGATAATTTAAGCTTTAAAAAATCGTATGGCGTTCTCTTATTTTAAATTTAGTCATTATACTACAACGAGGCAAACACAATTAAAATGGAATTTTATTTAAAAAAATAAGCATGGTTTAATAAAGATGGATAATGGGTAATTCATGAATCATTTTGAATGCAGGAGCA